GCATCAAGTTGGTACCTTATGAGTATAAAATAAAACTAATTTTACTATACCTATTATTTTTATTTTGATCTAAAAGTATTTAGGTTTGGATCTAAAAAGCTTAAAAATCCCTGCATTTGTACTGTACCTAGGATATTACTGCGGGGCCAATAACAATTTAACACTTGTTAAATGAATACATACCTAAGATGGAACTTGTAATAAAATTATAATTGAAACTAATTATGGACTGCTCTTTAAGAAGCTTTTTTTCTTTTTTGGGTCTTGTTTTTTTAAAATTCAACAATGTCTTTTACAAAATAACAAAGTTTAAATACAATGAAGAGTATACAGATTCTATATATAGTCAATTCTAATAAATCATAAATTCTGCATGCAAATTCATCTACTCACTAAAATTTGTCCAGCTCCAAAATCAATATAGCAGTTTGAAGGGTCACTGATGGGCATATGAAAAGCAATGAAGAATTTTAAGTTGCCAGATGCACACATCCACAGCCGAGATGAAACAAGGAAACACTCTGACTTGTTTTCAGCTCTCATACTAAACACATGTGTCTTTTTCATGGTTCATTTAGTGACAAATTTTTTGCATTTTTGTTGGCAATTTTACTGTTCAAAATGGCCCCCACATGTAGCAATGCAGTGCTGTCTAATGTTCCTAAGTGCAAGAAATAGTATTTTTACAGAAAAAATACATGTGTTACATAAGCTTCATTTAGGCCTGAGTTATACAGTGCTGTTGGCAGTGATTCAGTATTAAAGAGTCAACCATGGGTCCTTGCCTGTGAGAGTGGCCACTGAGTAGACCCTGGCTAGCCAGAAAATAAACCTCCTCTTGTGTGATTGCATCCTCGATGTCTCTGTTTTCTGTCCGGTGGGGCTGTGGAAGGTCGGTCCCTAACATTTGGGGGCATAGCCAACAAAACATGACATTCTTTTTATTTTCAAGCAATATGGAGTACAAATGTTAAGGTGTTACATATATGCCCTTACTTCCCTACCCCCAAGTCAGAGCTTCAAGGCGTATCCATCTCCCAGAGGTGTGTATTCCCATTGATTATGCTATGTATATACCCTCCCTCACCTCCCCACCTTGATGTTTTTTCACTGTATGGTCACTAGGTGTTGATCAGTGAAGCCAATTTTGTGTGATAACTGTTGGTGCTTTATTTTTCCATTCTTAGGATAACGGTAGACTTATGAATTGGGTTCAAGTTATCCAGAAAATACAAGTGCTATCATCACCGGTTTTTTCTTATAGGTGATATACTCCGATTATATACACACATTTTACGGTATCACTATTATTAAATGGACACTTTGTGTTTCCCACAATGCTGAATTTGTGAATATTCTGTATTAACATTCCAGAGCAGTGTCTTTTTTATAGATGCCTTTGTTCTTGGTAAGCCAATAAGATTGTTGGACAATGGTAGATTATGTATGTTTAATGTTTTCCCTATTGCTTTCCCACAGAGGTTAACTAGTTTGCAGTCCACCAGCCAATGTAGAGTGTTCTATTCCCACACTCAAATTATTGTTAACATCACGTGTTGCTTTATTTCTGTCTCTTTTTGGAAGTTTCAAATTGCGCATGTCCTTTGCCACTTTTGATAGGGTGATTTTCTGCTGATCTTTCCTGAGTTCTAATAGATTCTAGTTATCAGCCTTTATTGAAGTGAGCTGTGAATCATGTGAGGTAGGTGTCCTTATGAAAGTTCTCTTTGGCTGTGCAGAAGCTTTTATCTGACAGGTCCCATTTATTTATTTCATGTTGCTTGTGATTGCCCTTGCGGGTCTCTCTCATATAAATTCTTTGCTATCGCAGGTCTCAGAAGTATTTCCCAATGGTTTTCTAGGATTTCTATAGTTTCAAACCTCAGGTTTAGTCTGTTACCCAGCAATGGAGTTGATATTTGTGAGGGTTAAGCTGTGTGGATCCTGTTTCAGTCTTCTACATGTGGCTATCCAGGTTCCGCACCATTTATTGAAAAGGATTCTTTTCCGCCAGTATAGTTTGTCTGCTTTGTCAAGATTAGATGGCTATATGAGGGATGGTTAGTTTATATTTGGGTTTCTCTGCTTCTGTCCACTGGTCAATGACCCTGTTTCTTTGCCAGTGCAAATGCTGTTTTTATTCTATAGCCTTATAGATAGTTTGAAGTCTTGGTAAGTTGATACTGCCATTTGTTTTTGATTGCGCTAGATGATCTGGATACGCGTGTCTTCTCTGTTCATCGAATGTAAATATTTTTTTCTAATCGTGAAAAATGATGAAGTATTTAAGGGATTGCATGACTCTGTAATCACTTTGGTATATAGACATTTAACAGTGTGATTCTCGGACCATGAGCATGGGTATGGTCTCTCACTTTTTTACGTCCTCTGTGTATTCCTTTCCCAGTAGTTTAAGATCTCCCTGTAGAATCTCTTTTACTCTTAAATCATATTTCCTAGAACAGAGATACTCTTGGATGAAGAATAAGAACTGCCACTACAACATATATATATTACAAACCATAGAATTAAGACAATATTGTATTGTTTGCAGGAGTTAGACCAAGGAACCTAAACATTTATATGGAAACTTGATAACGTACTATGTAGGCTCCCGCTTAGGAAATGGAAACAAATTAAGCCACAAACAAGATATTCAATCAGAGAGAATTGTTTAAACCAGGTGGCTAAAGGACTAAAAAAAAAAAGGGGCTGGGTTGGCCTTGTAATCCTAGCCTCGTGGGAGCTGAGGCAGGCAGATGCTCAAGGTCAGGAGTTGAAACCAGCCTGAGTAAGAGCCAAGACCCTGTCTTACTAAAAATAGAAGAAAATTAATTGGCCAACTAAAATATAATAGAGAAAAATTAGTTTGGGACACTGGTGGGCACATGCCTATATCCAACTTACTGCGGGGGAGCTGACGACAGAGGATTGTTGAGCCCAGGAGGTCTTGAAGTGCCATGAGCTAGCTTGACGCCCATGGCACTGTAGCCTAGCAAACACAGTGAGACTCTGGGTTTGCTCAAAAAAACAACAAAAAAAAGGGAACTAATAATAACCAGATAAATGATAATATATTAATAAGTTTTTTTTTTTTTTTTTTTTTTTTTTTTTTTTTGACAAATTCAAACTTCATAGTTGGAGGCAGGCATGTTTAGCTCCTGCACCTGTAAGTCCTACCACTCTGGGAGCTGATGTGGGGAGATCGCTGGGCTTCAGAGCTTCGAAAAAAAAAGACTGAAAAAACAATTTTCCAAAATTAATGACAGACACCAAACCACAGATCCAGGAAGTTCATAAAACACCAAGCAAGATAGAAATCAAAAAATCTACATTTACATACATCATATCAAACGGCAAAAAAATCAAGCACAAAAAATATGTAAGACTTGTATTTGCATATGGTAGCATAAGGTCGGCATTTCCCCCTTCTTCTTTGAGATTTCACCAAAGAACCACAAGGAAAGGAAGAAAATCCCAACTCTGAAAAAAGTAGGAGACATCTTTAACCTGAACCATTACATAGGTGGAAGGGGAACATAATCAGTGCCAAATGAAAAGGGATATGTGAGGAAGCAGGGGCACAGGCATTTTGCCTAGAGATCCCAGAAAGCCTGAGGTGTATACTTTCCCAAAGAACACACTCTGAGTTGTACACCCTACATCCCTAGTCTGCAATAGCAGGAGCTCCCTCCCAACCTACTAAAGTTCCTAAGGGCAGAAATGGTGGGACTAAGACTAAAAAAGGAGGCCAGGCATAGTGGCTCATTCCTGTAACCCTAGCAATCTGGGAGGCCAAGGCAGGAGATCTTGAGCTCAGGAGTTCAAGACCAGCCTGAGAAACAGTGAGACCCCATCTCTAAAATAAATAAATAAATAATTAATTAAAATTAAAAAATTAAAGAAAAAGAAGAACAAAATAAAAGACTAAAAAAGGTATAACAAGGACAAGTAATATTTGCAGGAAGCAAATCAAAAGTAGTAGTTGCTTGCTACATTCACTGGGGGAGAAATAACACCCAAAATAACCCTAAACTTGAGTCACAGGAGATATCCCTAGTAACCTACAACTTGATCCTAGCTGCAACACACCTCAATATGAGCCATTTGCAAATTTGCTTGTCATTAAAAAAAAAGTCTGGGCACAGAGGCTCATACCTGCAATCCCAGCATTTTGGAAGCTGAGGCAGGAGAATGCGTTAAGGCCAATAACTCAAAACCAGACTGGGCAACACAGCAAGATACCATATCTACAAAAAATTTAAAAATTAGTCCTAGCTACTTTGGAGGCTGAGCCAGGACGATCACTTGAGCCCAGGAGTTCAAGGTTAGAGTAAGCTATGATCAAGTCACAGTACTCCACACTCTAGCCTGGGCGAAAGAGTAAGACCTTGTTTCTTTAAAAAACAAACCAAAAGTAATAAAAAACCCACCTTAAATTTAAAAATGTTCTGGCCACAATAGAATAATATGGACCAGATTTATCTACTTGCTGTAAACTAGAAAATCAGATCAAAATGAAATAATGGTTTCAGACTCTGGACAGCTGACACAGGACTATACTTACTGAGAGGGGAAATAAATGAATTAAGCCCGAAAACTGATTTTTCTTGATAAAATTTTATGATTGAAGTACAGAAGAATTTTATCTAAATTGGATTCCTATTAGAAAAATTTAAATATAAAAGCTTATAATGTGGATTTAAGTCCCACCATATCTGGTGAACTATCTTTATGATGGTATCATAATAATTTTAAATAGTTGTCAGTATCAATACCCACCTTAAGACTATTTTTAAAATGTGGGTATTTTCTTGGAATATTGAATAGGCTGATTAATCAATTAATCTAAGATAGCAAAAACAAAGATGGCAAAGAGGAAATATTTTATATTCAAGACTTTTTAGGGTTGAATGAAAATAATGTGAAATAACCACAATTATTCAAGTTATAACTTTAATGTCTATGAGTATTATTCAAATACCATAAAGAACAAATACCTGTTTTTTCCTAGATCGTTGTTTCTCAGGACTTACTGCTTGACTTTTTGAAACATGTTTTCTCATTCTTTCACTGGCTCTTCTCTCTTTTATCGTTCTTTCTCCTGAAAGAAGTATCATCATCAGAAATTGTTTCACATAAAAGGAAAAGTAGAAAATATTTTGAAAGATTATGATGAAATTCCCATTTATTTTTTAACTATTCTAAGAAAAAGAACTCCACATGTTTAAATTTTCCCTTCAAATCTGGAAGCAACAAAGTATAGTACAAAGATCAGACTTTGAAAATCAGAGGGGGAGTAGTTTGAGTCTTGACTCTTATGTCTTTAAACAAGTCATCTCACCTCCCTGAGCCTATCTTTTCATCATCTGTTACAGAAAGGAAAAATATTTTTCATAGAGAATTGTTGTTAAATTTTCTTAATATTTAAGGAGTACTTGACACAATATAACCCTTTCTTCTTCTTTCTTATTCATAGTCAATTTGGTAAGACAAGAAATAAATGTATATATTAATATAACTGAAAAGACACAGAACTATACTTATTGAAAGATAATAGTTTAGATTAGAAAACCTAAAAGATTCTCAGAATTAAAAGGGTTCAGCAAGATGGTTGAATATAAGATCAATATACAAAAAAGCAATAGGATTTTTATACATTAGCAGCAAACAGTTAAAATATTTAATTAAAACAATTAAAAGATACTATTTACAATAGCAACAAAAACATGACATTCATTTTTTTATTTCAGCATATTATGGGAGTACAAATGTTAAGGTTACATATATTGCCCTTACTCCCCTACCCCCCAAGTCAGAGTTTCAAGCGTATCCATCTCCCAGATGGTGTGCATCCCATTCATTATGTATGTATATACCCATCCCCTCACCTCCCCACCTGATAAATGTTATTCCTATATGTCCACTTAGGTGTTGATCAGTGAAGCCAATTTGCTGGTGAGTACTGTGGTGCTTATTTTTCCATTCTTGGGATACTAGACTTAGTAGAATGGGTTCCAGCTCTATCCAGGAAAATACAAGAGGTGCTATATCACAGTTGTTTCTTATAGCTGAATAGTACTCCATAGTATATATACACCACATTTTACTAATCCACTTATGTATTAATGGACACTTTGGTTGTTTCCACATCGTTGCAATTGTGAATAGTTCTGCTATAAACATTCAAGAGCAGGTGTCTTTTTTATAGATTGCCTTTGTTCTTTTGGGTAGATGCCCAATAATAGGATTGTTGGATCAATGGTAGATCTACTTGTATTGCTTTAATGTATTTCCATATTGCTTACCACAGAGGTTAAACTAGTTTGCAGTCCCACCAGCAATGTAGGAGTGTTCCTATCTCTCCACATCCACTCCAAAATTTATTGTTTTGAGACTTGTTAATAAAGGCCATTCTCACTGGAGATATCTCATTGTGGTTTTGATTTGCATTTCCCTGATTAGAGATGTTGACCATTATTTTCATGTTTGTTGGCCATTATTCTGTCTTCTTTTGGAAAGTTCTTGCGCATGTCCTTTGCCCACTTTTTGATAGGGTTGATTTTTTCTTGCTGATTTTCCTGAGTTCTAAATAGATTCTAGTTATCAGCCCTTTATTGAATGTGTAGCTTGTGAAAATTTTCTCCCATTCTGTAGGTTATCTGTTTGCTCTTATGAAAGTTTCTTTGGCTGTGCAGAAGCTTTTAATTTGATCAGGTCCCATTTATTTATTTTCATTGTTGCTGTGATTGCCCTTGGGGTCTTCTTCATAATAAATTCTTTGCCTCGGCCAGGGTCTAGAAGAGTATTCCCAATGGTTTCCTCTAGGATTCTAATAGTTTCACACCTCAGGTTTAAGTCTGTTACCCAGCATGAGTTGATATTTGTGAGGGGTTAAGGTGTGGATCCTGTTTCAGTCTTCTACATGTGGCTATCCAGGTTTCCCAGCACCATTTATTGAATAAGGATTCTTTCCGCCAGTATATGTTTTTGTCTGCTTTGTCAAAGATTAGATGGCTATATGAGGATGGTTTTATATTTGGGTTCTCTGTTCTGTTCCACTGGTCAATGACCCTGTTCTTGTGCCAGTGCAAAGCTGTTTTTATTACTATAGCCTTATAGCATAGTTTGAAGTCTGGTAAGTTGATACTGCCCACTTTGTTTTTGTTGCCTAGGATTGCTCTGGAATACGGGGTCTTCTCTGGTTCCATACGGAATGTAAAATTATTTTTTCTAAATCTGTGAAAAATGATGACAGTATTTTAATAGGGATTGCATTGACTCTGTAAATCACTTTGGGTAGTATAGACATTTTAACAGTGTTGATTCTGCTGACCCATGAGCATGGTATGGTCTTCCACTTTTTTTACGTCCTCTGTTATTCCTTTCCTCAGAGTTTTATAGATCTCCCTGTAGAACTCTTTTACCTCCTTAAATATATTCCTAGAACAGTCAAGATACTCTTGATGAAGAATAAGACTGCCCTACAACATATTATTATTACAAAACCATAGGAATTAAGACAATATGGTATTGTTGCAGGAGTAGACCAAGAGACCTAAACATATATGGAAACTTGATATACGTACTATGTAGGCTCCCGTTAGGAAAATGGAAACCAAATTAGCCACAAACAAAGATTTCAATACAGAGAGAATTGTTTAAACAGGTGCTAAAGGACTAAAAAAACAAAAGGGCTGGGGTGGTGGCCTGTAATCCTAGCACTCTGGGAGGCTGAGGCAGGCAGATCGCTCAAGGTCAGGAGTTCGAAACCAGCCTGAGTAAGAGCAAGACCCTGTCTCTACTAAAAATAGAAAGAAATTAATTGGCCAACTAAAATATATAGAAAAAATTAGTGGGACATGGTGGCACATGCCTATAGTCCCAACTACTCGGAGGCTGAGACAGAAGGATTGCTTGAGCCAGGAGTTTGAAGTTGCCATGAGTAGCTGACGCATGGCACTGTAGCCCAGCAACACAGTGAGACTCTGTCTCAAAAAAAAAAAAAACAAAAGGGAACTAATAAATTAACAGATAAATGTATTAATATATTAATAGACAAATTCAAAATCATAATTGGAGGCCAGGCATGGTAGCTCCTGCCTGTAATCCTACCACTCTGGGAGGCTGATGTGGGAGGATCGCTGGAGCTCAGGAGTTCGAGATCAGCCTGAGCAAGAGCGAGAGACCTTTTCTGTACTAAAAAAACATAGAAAAAATTAGTCAAACGACTAAAATAGAAAAATTAGCCAGGCATGGTGGTATATGCTATAGTCCCAGCTATTTGGGAGGCTGAGGCAGGAGCATCACTTGAGCCGGCAGTTTGAGATTGCTGTGAGCTAGGCTAATTACCATGGCTCTAACCTGAGGAATAGAGAGACTCTTTCTAAAAAAAAAAAAAAAAAATCACAGTTGGAGATTTTCACTTCTCCTCAGTATTGGCAGAACAAGTAGACAGGAACAAGGATATAGAACACTTTGGGAACCAGTCTTGTCAGCAAAACAAACAAACAAAAAAAAAGGATATACAAACCTGACCAGCATTATTAGCAACTTGACCTAATTAAAACATTTTCAACAATAGCAAATTCAAATTCTTCTAGGCACATCCACAGTCACCAAGATAGACCTCCTGTGGGCTACAAAATAATCTTAATTTTAAAAAATTAAATGAAAAATATTTTGAACTGAATCCAACATAAAAAGTATAGGACAACTAAAGCAGTTTTAATTAAAGAGGGATATAGCATTATATGCACATATTAGAAAAATCTGAGTATGTACAAAGAAAAGCAACTAATACAAAGAGGGAAAGGTCAGGTTAATGTCAGATTTCCCCACCAGCATTCGAAATCAGAAAATGGAGCAATGTTTGCAAAGTCGTGACACAAAATATTTCAAAGATATTATATTTAATCAATTTCCTTACAACATTAGCATAACTTAAGAGCTTCAGTTTTTCATCTTTAAAATGAGAGTGATGACAATACCATGAATGTAAACATTTTAGAACTGTATTTACAAACATTAACTAATAGTGTGCATGTTGTCAGCCATCTTATGAATAAATTTATCAGTAATATTTACTGCAGACCTACTATGTGCCTGGCATCAAGTTGGTGCCTTATGGTATAAAATAAAACTAATTTTACTATACTATTATTTATTTTGATGTAAAAGTATTTAGTTTGGATCTAAAAGCTTAAAAATCCTGCATTTGTACTGTACCTAGGATATTACTGCGGGCCATAACAATTTAACACTTGTTAAATGAATACATACCTAAGATGAACTTGTAATAAAATTATAATTGAACTAATTATGGATGCTCTTTAAGAAGCTTTTTTTTTTTTTGGGTCTTGTTTTTTAAATTCAACAATGTCTTTTACAAATAACAAAGTTTAAATACAATAAAGAGTATACAGATTCTATATATAGTCAATTCTAATAAATCATAAATTCTGCATTCAAATTCATCTACTCACTAAATTTGTCCAGCTCCAAAATCAATATAGCAGTTTGAAGGGTCACTGATGGGCATATGAAAGCAATGAAGATTTAAGTTGCCAGATGACAATCCACCGAGATGAACAAGGAACACTCTGACTTGTTTTCAGCTCTCTACTAAACACATGTGTCTTTTTCATGGTTATTTAGGACAATTTTTTATTTTGTTGGCAATTTACTGTTCAAATGGCCCACATGTAGCAATGCAGTGCTGTCTAATGTTCCTAAGTGCAGAAAGTATTTTTACAGAAAATACATGTGTTACATAATTCATTTAGGCCTGAGTTATACAGTGCTGTTGGCAGTGATTCAGTATTAAAAGTCAACCATGGGTCCTTGCCTGTGAGAGTGGCCTGAGTAGACCCTGGCTAGCCAGAAATAAACTCCTCTTGTGTGATTGCATCCTCGATGTTCTGTTTTCTTGTCGGTGGGGCTGTGGAAGGTCGGTCCCTAACATTTGGGGCTGTCGGGTTTGCCTTCCCACAGACTACCAGTAGAATTCAGGGCTGAGGGAGGGAGTGTGAAATCCATCCCGGACTAGCCAGGTGTGGTGTTGGGCAAGGGAGCGGAATCCCCTTGCAGGACCCGGATCAGGAC